TCACCCAGCCCAGCCCATGCTTGCAATTGCGAGATCTGCAACAGAGTACCAGAACTAGTATTGCACCAGCAGACTTTTCATTAGCAAAACTCACCAAAAACATGTCTTAAACTCAGCCGAGCCATTCGGGCTCCCAACCAAACATGCACACAAGTGTAATAATATCATACGAACTTGGTCGTGCAATCAAATCACTAAAATAACATCTAGTTCTCTGAATCAATCCTCAAAACGAATGAAATTTCAAAGTGGAACTCTAAAACACTAAAATCACATTTAAGCGTCTGAATCATGTCAAATCAATTCTGAATTAAACAAAATATTGCAGACAAGTTTCAAATTGCAATCCAGAACTATTCCAAGTTTCAACATAAAAATCCGAACCCGTTAGCTAAGAAGTCAACTTTCGGTGAAACCTTATAATTCTTCAACTTTCAAAAATGCTAGTTTTGGGCAAAATGACTCAAAATAATTTAGGGACTTCCGAATTCAATTCCGAGCATACGCCAAAGTCCTATATCATGACACGGACCCACCTGAACCGTTAACACACTGATCTGCGTCCGTTTACATAAAATATTATCCGTAGTCAACTCAAATCAATTTTTAGGTAAAAATTCATATTTTCTTCAATTTTTCACATAAAGACGTCCCGGAATAAGGCACGGACTGCGTATACAACACGAGAAAAGCTAAACAGAGCTTATCGAGGTCTCAGAACATGGAAATAGAGGCTAAATCTCAAAATGACCTACCGGATCATCACATTCTCCACCTCTAAAACAAATATTCGTCCTCGAACAGACATAGAAAAGTGCCTGAACAGGAGAAAAGGTGTGGGTATCTACTCCGCATATCGGACTGGAACTCCCACGTAGCTGCCTCGATCGGCTGACCTCTCCATTGCACTCGAATTAAAGGGTAACTCTTAGACCTCAACTTTCATACCTGCCGTGCAAAAATGGCCATCGCCTCCTCCTTGTAAGTCAAATCCTTGTCCAATTGGACTAAGCTAAAATCTAACACATGGGACGGATCACCATGATACTTTCGGAGCATGGAGACATGGAACACCAGATAAACTATTGATAAGCTAGGTGGAAATGCAAGCTTATAGGTCACCTCACCCACTTAGGGTCCGATATACCTAGGCTCAAGTTGCCCTTCTTTCTGAACCACATCACACCCTTCATGGCTGAAACCCGAAGAAATACCCTCTCTCCAACCATGAATGCAACATCACAAACTCCCCAATCGGCATAACTCTCCTGCCTAGACTGAGTTGTGCAAAGTCGATCATTAATCATCTTGACCTCTTCCAAGGCATCCTAAACCAAATCGGTACCCAACAATTGAGCCTCTCCCGGGTCAAACCAACCAACTGGCGAATGACACCGTCTCCCGTATAATGCCTCATAGGGATCCATCTGAATACTCGGTTGGTAGTTGTTATTGTAGGCAAACTCCGCAAGCAGCAAAAACTGATCCCAAGAACCCCCAAAAGCCATAACGTTGGCGTGAAGCATATCCTCCAATATCTGAATGGTGCGCTCAGACTGTCCGTCCGTCTGGGGGTGAAATGTTATAATCAACTCAACTCGTATGCCTAACTCATGTTGTACAGCCCTCCATAAGTACGAGGTGAACTGCATACCCCGATCAGAAATGATGGACACCGGCACACCGTGAAGATGAACGATCTCGCGGATATAGATCTCAACCAACCGCTCTGAAGAATAGGTAACTACTACAGGAATGAAATGTGCCAACTTGGTCAACCTGTCCACAATGACCAATACCGCGTCGAATTTCTTCGAACCCCATGGGAGCCCAACAACAAAATCCTTGGTAATACGCTCCCACTTCCACTCAGGAATCTCAAACTTCTGAAGCAAACCGCCAGGCCTCTGATGCTCTTACTTTACTTGCTGACAATTTAGACATCGAGCCATAAAGGCATCTACTTTATTCTTCTTCATTCTTCTCCACCAATAATGCTGCCTCAAGTCCTGATACATCTTGGCAGCACCCGGATGAATGGAATACCGCGAACTGTCGGCCTCCTCAAGAATCAACTCACGAAGCCCGAACATGAATCCGCAACACCCCGTCATCTCCAATAGTAACTTGCTTGGCACCACCCAAATTACATCACTAGGAATACATAATGCCCATATCGAGTCCGAAAATATGTCTTAGGGACATCTGATGCCCTAATCTTCAACTGATGGTATCCAGACCTCAAGTCAATCTTCAAAAACACTTTGGCACCCTGAAGTTGATAAAATAAGTCATCAATCCTCAGCAACAGATACTTGTTCTTGATAGTGACTTTGTTCCACTACCGATAGTCTATATACATCCTCATCGAGCCATCCTTCTTCTTCACGAACAACACATGCGCACCCCAAGGTGAAACACTAGGTCTAATGAATCCCTTATCAAGTAAATCTTGCAGCTTCTCCTTCTGTTCCTTCAACTCAAGCGGGGCCATACGGTATGGTGGAATAGAAATGGACTGAGTGCCCAGAGCCAAATCAATACAGAAGTCAATATCTCTATCGGGTGGCATCCCCGGTAGATCTACAGGAAACACCTCTAGAAACTCACACACAACAGGTACTGAATCCATGGAAAGAACCTATGCACTAGAATCGCGAATAGAGGCCAAATAAGCTAGACATCCTTTCTCTACCATATGTCGAGCTTTCACATAAGAAATAACTCTGCTAGTAGGATGGCCAGGAGTCCCTTTCCACTCAAATCCAGGCAACCCCGGCATGGCTAAGGTCACCATCTTAACATGACAATCCAATATAGCATGATAAGGTGAAAGCTAATCCATGCCCAAAATAACATCAAATTCTACCATATCAAGAAGTTGAAGATATACACTAGTCTCAAGACTCCCAATAGTAATCACACATGAGAGATAAACACGGTCTACAAAGGTAGAATCTCCCACCGGCATAGACATATACATAGGAGCATTCAAAGAATCACGAGGCACAACCAGATATGAAGCAAAATAGGATAACACATAGAAATAAGTAGATCCCGGATCAAATAAAATTGAAGCATCTCTATGGCAAACTGGAACAATACCTGTGATAATGGCGTCAGATGAATCGGCATCAGGTCTAGTTGGGAATGCAAAAAAATGGGGTAGGGTCCCACCACCCTGACCTCCGCCTCTCGGACGTCCTCTAGCTGGCTAGCCTCCACCTCTAATGGCCTGACCTCTACCTCTAATGGCCTGACCTCTACCTCTAGCTGGCTGAGCGGGCAGTAAAGCAACTAATGCCGGAACCATGGCACGAGAACTCTGTTGTGGCATGCTGCTCGACAATCTTAGGCAGTACCTCCTGATGTGACCAGTAACCCCACACTCGAACCACACATCCTGTTGTTGTGGCTGTTGAAGATGAAACTGACCCGAACGGGTCGGATAACCACGGTGATAGCTCTGGATCGGAGGCGCACTAATAAGAGCTGATGGTGCACTGTAGGCTGGCTGCCCAAAATGAGATACATAAGGACCACGACTACCCAAAGCATTGTGGGATGCCTGCAGCACTAACTAAAATGTCCTAGGAGGATGGCCTCTACCAAAAGTACCCCTGCCTCCAGCTGAGGCACCACTGAAACCACCGAAATGATGAGGCCTTTTATCGAACACCAGCCCCCTCTCCTGACCACGAACCATCTCGATCCGTCTAGAAATATCTACGGCCCTCTCGAAATAAATATCATCTCCAATTTCATTGGCCAATAGCCTGATGTTGAAATTTAGCCCATCAATGAATCTCCTTACTCTCTCCCTCTCAGTAGGGAATAAACCAATGGCATGACGAGCCAGGTGGACAAATCGAGTCTTATACTAGATGACAGTCATGCTACCCTGCTGAAGGCGCTCATACTGCCTGTGATACTCCTCTCTCGGAGTGAAAGGAATGAACTTCTCAAGAAATAGCTGTGAAAACTGATCCCAAGTGAGTGAAGGCAAACCAGCTGGTCTAGTCAGCACATAATCTCTCCACCATCTCTTGGCAGAATCAGTCATATGGAACACTACAAAGTTGTCCCTTTTGATCTCAACAATACCCATGTTGCGCAACACCTCGTAGTAACGATCCATGTAATCATGTGGGTCCTCAGAAGGTGCACCGCTAAAATGAACAGGAATGAGTTTGGTAAACTTATTCATCCCCAACAGGGCCTCAGAAGACATAGCAGGCCTATCCCCGGCCTATGCCACAACAACTAGCTAAACTACCCCAATTGGCTGGGATACTAGAGTCTGATATAGTGTAGCCACCTGCTCTGGGGTGTGAGTAGCAGGAGTCTGTGCTCCTCAATAGCCTAAGAGACGACTGGTTCCACCAAAAATACATCGGTATGGGCCACACTCTCCATAAGTCCCACCAAGTGAACTAGAGATTCCTGAAGCACTAGAGTGACTATGAATCCCTCCGGGACCTGAGCTAGTCCAATGGGTGCGGTCTGAGCTGGGACCTCCTCCTCATGATCAATCTGAGGCTCCACTGGGGGTGTTGTTGCTCGAGCTCTAGGCTGAGTCCTGCCTCTGCATCGACCTCTGGCTCGACCTCGGCCTCTATCCCTGGTCCACAGGGGGCTCCGGCTCCTGTCTGGCTACAGATATTGTGCGTTCTCGCCATCTGCCAGAGAATAAGAATAGAATAGTTCAATTATCAATAATAGAATGAAATCGCACGATAGAGAAAGAAAGAAGTGAATTTTTTCCTAAAACTCCACAGCCTCTAGAAGATAAGTACAGACGTCTCCGTATTGATCCTCCAATCTCTACTAAGCTTGCTCATGACTCTTGAGACCTAAGCAACCTACTGCTCTGATATAACTTGTCACGACCTCGAATCCCAACCTCGAGGTCATGATGGCACCGAACATCTACTTCCTAGGCAAGCCGACGTGAATAGAAAACTTACTGGTTTTAACAATTTACAACAAGATAATTACAATGAAAACAATATAAGTCCGAAGTATAGTATAACAATACTGAATAACGAGTCTAAACTTAACCCAAAAACTGGTGTCACGACTACATGAATGTCTACAGCGCTAAAAACAGGGTCTGAATAAAATACATTATTTTGAACTCAGAAAAAAATAGTAAAGATAGGAGGAAAGAGGACTTCATGACTGCGAATGTTGTACAACTGTACATCAAGTCTTCGTCCATAACTGGATCCGCGTAAATCTACTAAACATCGCTCAGGACCCACTCCGTTATCTGCAAAAGAATTGCAGAGAGTAGTATGAGTACAACCGACCTAACGTACTCTGTAAGTGCCGAGCCTAACCTCGATAAACTAGTGACGAGGTTAAAGCAAGCCACTTACAATAACCTGTACACAAAATGAATAAACTCAAAGGGAATTTTTCTGTAATAAAAGGGAAAAAAGACAGAAAATGAAAGTATAGCAGTTAAGCCCAGAATAACAAATCTCTTAAGCTCGTATAAAAAATGTTCGAACTAACACAACAACAACAACAACAACAACAACAAGTACAACACACACAACAAATGAGGTGTGCAACCCAATCCCACCTTAACATTCTTTATTAATATCAGGCATTAACGTAAATAGTCTTTTGCGGCATGCAACCCGATCCCACCATATCATCATTAATCAATATCATAATCCTCCCTTGTTCCAACATATCATCATTAAACAATATCATAATCCTCCCTTATTCCACCATATCATCATTTATCAATAACAATTATTACGTACACAAACCGCTGCGGCGCGCAACCCAATCCCACCATATTATTATTTATCAATATCATAATCCTTATTCCACAATTTCAATCTATTATCCTTCAATTCCCGTTGCTGCATGCAACCCGATCCACAAACAATTTCAATGAACATAAACAATCAAATAACTCAATTTATAAGAATTTCTACAATCAAAGAGTATGAGTGCAAGGCAATAAATGAACCATGTAATAATCAAAGAAATGTAACAAATATTACAAAACAACATGACAAATAAAACATGTGACAATTAAAGTATGCAAGTAAAACAGTTAAGGCAAGTAGCAATTAATCACGGAGTAAGTGAAGGGACAAACTATTCCATACAAGAAGACTTAATGACAAATAATAAATTACGGCATAGAAAATAATTAAAGCATGTAACAATTAAGGCATTTAATGAGATAATTCATGAAAAACGAGAAAACATGGAAATAATTATTTTGACGGCGTATATACACTCATCTCCTCGCATATACGCCGTTTCACACGTAATTCAAATAACATATCGTTCAAGGGTTCCTAATTCCCTCAAATCAAGGCTAGACCCAATACTTACCTCACCCCGCAACCCAAGCGATCAATCAACCACGATATTGCCTTTTGATCAAGCCTCCAAGCCAACTAAACCTAACAAATTATTGACCAAATAATTCGAAATAAGCTTTAGAAACTACCCACAAACAAAAGAGGTTCAATTTAGATTATTTTTATAAAAGTCAACAAAAGTCAACCTCGAGCTCACTTGGTCAAAATCAAGATTCGGGCCAATAAGGCATCATAGAAGGAAGGAAACAAATCAACCAAAACAACAAGTGATATAATAGAAAAGTATCAACAAGAATCACTACTGAGGTACCACCTCGTAGTCTCAAATCACAAAATAATTCACAATCTTTTCTCATATTACTGTGGGACCCTTGTATTTAGTTTTAAAAATTATTTTTTCCGAAATAGCTTCATGCGTTTTAGCCCACCTTATCACACCGCGTGGCTTCAAGTAATTTCCCTACTAGCACCACGCATATCAAGCCCACCTTATCTCATCGCATGCGTTTCAACCCCAATCCTTATACCGCCGCATGCGTATCAATATCACAATGTATCACAAATCGCACCTTAACTGCCCAATATCACAGCTTGCCAACCACAATAATGGTATTTTCACAATAAATAGCCCATGGCTCAACCAAAATATGCACAAGAGTCTCAATAATAATAACCGGAAGTGAATAACTCAACAAGAATAGTATTTCACAACTTAACAACTTTGTCTCAATGTGAATCACGGCTTTTATAACTCAATACCAATTTCAACAACAAGATATTCCAAGAAATAACAATTTCAAGTAAGGAACTCAATAGTTAAATAATGAATAAGGAATAGAGGAAACAATAATTTCAACTAGGCATGTAAAGGCAAAAAACAAGTAAGAGGTAAGACAAGTAAAGCATATGAAGATAGACTAAAGATGATGAATATAACATATTATGGTAACTCAATTAAAGGCATGAAAAGAATATACATAGCTAGAACCGGTCAATTACCATATTTAGCCGTGTACTCACTCGTCACCTTGCGTACACGGCTTTCACATATCACAATTAACACAAAACAACACCAATCCTAAGGGGTAATCCCCCACACAAAGTTAGGCAAGACACTTACCTCAAAACATGCTAACTCAATCCACTAGTAAGTCTTTCCATCGATTATCCAACTCCGGACGGCTCGAATCTAGCCAAAACAACTGCATTCTATAAATATAAACTGAAAGAAACTATTCTGAACAATAAATTTACGATCTTTAAAGAGAAATAAAAATTCAACTCAAAAATTCAACCCTGGGCTTGCGTCTCAGAACCCGACCAAAATTATAAAATCTGAACACCCAATCGATAACGAGTCCAACTATATAAAAATTACTCAAATCCGACTTTAAATGGCCTTTCAAATCCCAAAAATTTATTCTAAGAAGTTTTCACAATTTTCCTAAATTTTCAACTGAAACCACTAATTAAATGATGAAAATAATAATAAATTCGTGTAATATAGCCAAAACCGAGTTAGAATCACTTACCCTGATGATTTCCCTGAAAATTCCTCAAATAATCGCCACAAACCGAACTCTCTTGGTCCAAAAATAAAAAAAACAATTAAACCCTCGAAGACCTCTATTTCTGCCCAGCGATTTCTCATCCGCGGGTATAGGATCGCACCTGCGAAAAATCCATCGTAGGTACGGTTCCAACTAAGGTCTAGCACATTCCACTTCTGCGGATACAAACGCGCATATGCGCTTTCGCTCTTGCTAACATATGAGTGTTTCTGCGCACGCGCTCCTGCTGACAATGTCCACTTTTGCGATCATAGACCAAGTTGGCCCAGTCCGCATCTGCGACCAGCTCCTCCGCACCTGCAGACTCACAGCTACGGAAATCACCTAGAACCTGCGATCCCATCCAATCTCACTCAAGGCCTCTCCTGCAATCAACCTCAAGCACCTGCGTGTCAGCACCTGCGGCAAAACCCTCGGCAGGTGCGAGGACACTAGAACAACAGCACGTTCAGCAATTCATCAAGTCTAAAATTGTTCTGGATTCAATCCGATTCACAGCCAGGGCTCCCGGGACCCCCTCCGAATATACCAACAAGTTTCAAAATACATAACGGACCTATTCGAGGCCATAAATTACATCAAACAACATCGATTCTACGATCGAAATCAAATTCAAACCTATTGAAATTACGAACATCCGACTTCCAAAACTAACGTCGAATCACACCAAAACAACTCTGATTGACCTCGAATTTTGTACACAAGTCATAAATGACATGACGGACCTATTCCAACTTCCGAAATCGAAATCTGAATCTGATATCAATAAAGTCAACTCCCGGTTAAACTTCTCAACCTTCCAAACCTTCAACTTTCTAACTTTTTCCAATTCAAGCTGAAACGACCTACGAACCTCCAAATCAACATCCGAACACGCTCTTGAGTCCAAAATCACCATACAGATATATTGAAATCGTCAAAACTCTATTTTGGAGTCATCTACACAAAAGTCAAACTACGGGCAACCCTTTCAACTTAATCCTCCAACTTAGGTACTAGGTGTCCCATTTCACTCGGAATCTCACCCGAAATCAAAACCAAACACCCCGGCAAATCACATAACAACAACACAATATAGATGAGGCAATAAATAGGGGATCGGGGCTAAAATACTCAAAACGACCAATTGGGTCGTTACACCACTGCACCATGAATCCATGACACCCAAACACAACTATACAACAAGGAGTTAGCTTACAGAGGAAAACGATGAGGACAAGAGAGAGAAACATTATCTGATAAATTGAATGAAAACGAGATTTATTAAATTTTTCGTTGGTAAACGTTTACGTGTTTCGCTTTATTGCTTATCGAATTATTAAAATTTTGGATTATTATCTGTTTTTTCTATAATATTGAATTCAAGTTATACTACTTATGCCAAATAACACTCACTACAACAAAAATGGCATTTAGTGGCAATAAAGTTTGACTTTAGCGGAAATAGAAATTGCCGTAAAATCTTTTACCAGCAATTGCTTATTAGCCGTTGTATCCAACGTCATTAAAGGTTTTAGCGGCAATTCAACTGAGTGCCGGTAAAAGCACCATTTATTAAAGGTCATTACTTTTAGTGGCATTTATTTACCAACCATTACAATGGCCAGTAAAACTACCTGTGGAATATGCTACCTCATATATTTAGCGACAGTTGTTATTGCTGGTAAAAACCCATCAATTGCCAACAATAGGGACTACTTTTAGTGGAAATTGTAATGGCAACTAAAGTTTCTGTGAAATGACCTTTATTTAACAAAATTTAACACTTCTAATGCTCGTTTGCTTATTTACATTCACAAATAATAATTAGAATTGCAGTCATTTTAAAAAGATTAATACATTTCTTAAAATTCACGACAAAAACAACCACCAATCCGTAATTTCATAGTACCGACATATTAAAAAGAAATAAACTATTTGAACTAAATAACCAGCAGTTTGTTTCAAATAACTGGTGAGACATAGCTACGATACTAGACAACAAATAGCACATAACAATTTATGTAACTCTTGATCATAATTAAGTTTTCCACATGTCAAATTTCTGAACATCAAATAATATGACCTGAAATAATAAAATAAAATGAATATTAACACATGATAGTATGATATAGTTTTTGTAACGACCCGACCGATCGTTTTGAGCTCTAACGTGTCGTTCGGTGGTTTGAGACCACGAGCAACTTCACTTCAGGTATTATGACTTGTACGCGTGGTCGGAATTGAATTTCGGGAAGTTCGGAAAGTTCGGAATTGATCTGGAAAGAGAATTCTAATTCTGGAAGCATTAAGTTGGAGGAATTGACTAAAGTGTGATTTTGAGTAAACGACCTCGGAACTGGGATTTGAAGGTACCAACAGGTTTGTATGATGATATTGGACTTGGGCGTATGTCCGGATCAGATTTTGGATGAACCGTGAGTGTTTCGGCGCCTATTGTAGAAATTGGCATTTTGGAAGAATTTCATAAATTTGGGTTGAAGTGTATTTCAATGTTAGCGATGACCGTTTGGGATTCTGAATCTGGAAAAAGTTCCTTATGGTGATTCTGGTATTGGGAGCGCTTCCAGAAGTGGATTCGGAAGCTTTATGAGAAGTTTGACCAGGAGTGAAATTTTTGATACCGGGGTCAGAATCTGATTCCGGGAGTTGGAGTAGGTCCGTAATGTCGAATGTAACTTGTGTGCAAAATTTGAGGTCAATCGGACGTGATTTGATGGGTTTCGGCATCGAATGTCGAAGTTTGAAGTTTTAATGTTCATTTAGTTTGAATTGGGGTACGATTCATGATTTTGATGTTGTTTGATGTGATTTGAGACCGCGAGCAGGTCCGTATTATGTTATGGGACAGGTTTGTGTGATTTGGATGGGGTCCCGGGGGCCTCGGGTGTGTTTCGGGATGGTTTCGAATCATTTCAGGCTGTTTTGGACTGCTGTTGTTGGTGTCTGGTGTCCTTCTTCGCGAACGTGAAGGAAGTCCCGCGTTCGCATAGAGGAAATTGTAAGGCTGCTAGGTTGGCCTTCGCGAACGCGAGCAAGTGGACGTGAACGCGAGGCAAGAGCTGGGCAAGCTTTCGCGAACGCGGCCAAGGCGACGCGAACGCGAAGAAGAAAGGGGGAGATGGGCCTAAGGCCATTTGGCCTGCACGAACGCATAGAAAGGAACGCGAACGCGAGAGGTCTGGGAAGCTGGCCTTCGCGAACGCAATCAGAGTGCTGGGAACGCGAAGAGATATTTCTGGGTGTGAGGTTGTTGAGCATCGCGAACGCGAGGGATGTGTCGCGTTCGCGAATAAGAGTCGCCTGGGTAGTGAGGTTTTTAAAGGACAGGATTTGGCCATTTTCCTCCATTTTTTATTTGGCTGGACAATTTATGGAGCTGTTGGAAGGGAAATTTTCGTCATCAATGTCAAGGGAAGTGATTCCCACCTATTGCAAGTTAAATACTTGTATTATATATGGGATTTTGAAGAAAAACCTAGAAATTGGTATTTTTGGATTTTGATCACG